ACTCTGTCGCCCAGACTGGAGTGTAGTGGCCACTCCCGGCCACTGCAGCCTCGACCTGCTGGGCTCCAGCAATCCTTCCGCCTCAGCCTTCCGAGCAGCTGGAACTACAGGCACGCTCTACCACGCACTGCTGATTTTTGGATTTATTGTAGAGATGAGGTCTTGCTGCCCAGGCGGGTCTCAAACCCGCGGGCTCAGGCAATCCACTCACCTCAGCCTCCCAAAGGTGCGGGATTACAGGCTGAGCCACCGAGCCCGGCAGCATTTTCAAAAAGCACACGCATCTCTTCACGTTAAAGTAAAAAAGCCCGGCCAAACATTTTTTTCACAAGTGTGTTTATTAGATATTTTTTAAATGATGGGTTTATTTGCATAATATACAAAATTAAGTTTGATGAATTACATGTCTATTTTCCATTTTCAGGAAATTTAAATTAACGTATTAAAAAAATCCAAAAGAGATGATGCCCTGTATAAAACCAAAGGGTATCTTTCAGTTTGTTGCTTGTCTTAAGGGTCTCTTTTGTGAATTGTCAAATGGTTGACAGTAGAATGCAAGAATTATTTTTATACTAATTGAATCCAGAAGAGATTTATCTTTTTTGTTTTATTATTTTATTAAGTTTACCTCAAGCTATATAATTACATTGAATGAATGTCTTTAATTTCTTTGTGTCAAATTCTTAAAAGGGCAGAAAGGAAAACAGAGATACATAGAGATATATAATTAATATTATTACAATAAAATGTATCAGAAGTTCACATTTTCATGATATGATGTCAACTTGATGTACAGTATATAACTAAGACTTTTGCTCTCACTTTTTATTTTCTGGCTCAATTTGAGGTCATATTTCAATATTAAATACTTTGAATTGCTTTTGTATACTTAAAAGATGTTCTTGGTTCCTTATAGTAGTGTGATTGACAAAATGAAGGTTACTTTGTGTGTGTGTGTGTGTGTGTGTGTGTGTGTGTGTGCACGCGCACGCATGCATACGCACACTTTTGCACGTAATGTTTCACAATGGCTTAGCGCTAAATGAAAATTCCTCTTCCCAGTTTCTTCATCATCTTAGGAATCAGTGCTGTAAGGTTGGTGGCTATACATTTTAACATGTAGAAGTTTTTCCATTTTTATTTACAAAGACGTTACTTTGGCAAGCAGAGGCTTTTTCATGAACTCAGGCGAACACTCCCTCTTGCTCTTTGTCTTGCTTACCCTTTTCCTTCTAAACTCAGTGATAATCCCCCATATCCTTAGAGCCATGTAGTTAGCTTTAATCACACAGTATAGCAGTTTTTTATATAATCTTGATTTTAAAAAGAGAAACATTTCCTTATATTTTAAGCACTGCTTCCTTGTCTGCTTCCCCCACCCCTACATTGCATTTAGTATTCAAATGTGCTCAGTGTTCAGCCTTTGCTGTTTTTTTACTAACTATCTTCTGTGCTTTCAGTTAACAGCCAGGTCCTTGCCTGCTGTGCAGTCTGATGAAAGACTTCAGCCTCTGCTCAACCACCTCAGGTAATAGCAAGGCACAGCCTTGTCGTGCTTATACATCCAAGTGCATTAAAGTGGGCAAAGTATATTAAAAATGCTTAACATCCTTTCATTTATTAAAAACATAAAATTTTTTCATGCTTTAATTCTGTTATTCAGGTTCTATTATTGAAGTTCTTAATAAAGTGTATGTGTTACCTTTGACTTTAGGGCACTGTAGATGGCTTTTCATTTAACAGTGTGCAGAACTACTTGATAAGTTTGAGTTAAATGAGTAGAGATGACTGACTTCACAGAAAGATCTCAAGTGAACAAGCTTTTATTTAAATACGAGGCTAAGACATACTTTTGTTGTGGATAGATGAAATGGGTGGAGTTGTTCTAAATACAAAAATAATATAGTCTCATTATTTAAACAATTAACATATACAGGAGAGAGAAAACTCATTGTTACTACTCAGAAGAAATATTTTATTCTCTATGCTGTTGTAAAACCCAGTGTTGAAATTATGCTTTACATGATTTAATAGTTTTTCCATTATTAATAAAATTATAAGATTTTTTTCTATTGTTAAGATCATCCTAAAGACATTGCTGTTGGTGGCACATACTATTTTCTTATATGGATGTACTAAGGTATATTTATCTCCCTTTGGGAGGCATTTAGACCATTTCCAATTCTTCTTCCTTCTATAAATAATGCTATATATAAGCCTTTATCTGTATTTTAGAACATTTTCTTAGGATAGCTTTTTCAGAATTGGAATTACTTTGTCAAAGGGTGTAAGCCATTTTAAAGATTTAAGCATATATATATTTCTTTTTCAAAACTCTATTCTACTTATACTCTCATATTGCATAAGACTGCTATGTAACTGCAGCCTGAACAAGACCGGTCAGCCAAAACAGTAACTCTCAAGTTAGTCATAGAGATACTATTGTGATCATATGCATTTCACTGACTATTATTAAGAATGACTTTTAGGCATTTTATTATTATTTTAGGATGGGATTAACTATCATTTATTGATAGCACCTTCTGATTTTATTTGGTCTTATGCACTTTAGACATAAAGAATAGTAAATCTTCGTATTTGTTGCAAATTTTTTTCCTGAAATTTTTAATGATAGATTATTCAATATGCCTACATTTTCAAGGTTCATGTAGTCAGGCACCAATAGTGTTTTCCTTTATGGTTTAAAAAAAATTTTTTTTTTTTTTTTGAGCCATGGTCTTACTTTTTTGCACAGCAGAAATATAGTTGTACAGTCACAGCTCACTGCATTCTCCAACTCCTGGGCTCAAGTGATCTCTTGCATCAGCCTCCCGTGCAGCTGGGACTATAGGTGTGCACCACCACATCCAGCTAACTTTTTGATTTTTTAATAGAGCTAAGTTCTCACCATGTTGCCCAGGCTAGTCTCAAACTCCTGGGCTCAAGCGATCCTCCTGCCTCTGCCTCTCAAAATACTGGGATTACAGATGTGAGCCACCATGCCTGGTGTTAAAATGATTTTTAAACTTAAAATATCACTTCTCATTCAGAAGTTTGGATAGATTTTACTTTCTGGTATCTTTTGATTTTCCTTATTTTTCCTTTTCTTCCTCTTCCTTTTCTTTTTTTTTCTCCTCTTCTTTAACTTTTCCTTCCCAGACTTGTTAACCTCTATGTAATTGTTTTGTTGGGATGTGCAGGAGAAAGCAAGACATATATTTCAGCTGGGACTGAATAGCATACATATTGTATGTAGTTGTTAGCTAGAGCTCTATGTGAGTTAAAAAACCCAGATATCAAATTTGGTCTCTAGCTCAACCCCTCCCAGATTCAAATCTGTTGGTGATTTTCTCTCTTGAGTATCTTTCTTGCTATCATAGCCTCTTGTCTCCCTTCCTAATAGATTTCACAATCAGTGCTGTATGTGATTATATGATTCCTCAGCTTAAACCCATCTCTGCCTCCCCAGTTTCATTCTAGATGAAGCCTGAACTTCTTAACCTGGCATATGAAGTCCTTCTTGAAGAGGCCTTGCCTGTCTGTCCCTTTGGACTCCTTTTTCAGCACTGGGACCTAACTTTCCCACATGCCATGATGTTTCCTTAATACAGCATGCTTTTGCTCACTCACCTATGCCTTTGCAAAATTTTTCTTTCTGCTACTTCTACTTATATGTGTATGTTTATATATAAGTTTAAATATGTATTAAATGAATTTAATGTAATATATATTTTAAATATACATATTTAAAATCTTCTTAATGGTGTATATTTACAAATATATAAAATATGTGTTCATGGTCTCCCCATTCCCTACTTTTATGACTTGACTAACTTGTTTATCCTTTAAGACTCAGCATAATTGTTACCTCTGCTGATGAGTTTTTCCTGACCATTTAGTTCCCTCCTTACCTGTCTGAATTTGGATGCCTTTATTGGCATTTCACACTATTCCATGCCTACTTTTGTATTACAGAATTTGTTATGTTGCTTGTTTACTGTCTGATTTCTCCATCATAGTATGAACTGCTTGAGAGCTTATAAAGTGACTTTCATATTTGTATTTCTAGTAGCTGGGACAATTTCTGGCACATGATAGTATTCATTATGTGTTTTGTTGAATGAGTGAATACAAATTATATTAGTGATAGTTTGTTGGTTTTGTCTGCATAGTTTTTATAATTTATAAATCATATCATCACAGATTTTTTTTTCTATAAAACCACTGGTCCCTAAAGGGTGGAATCTCACCTCTAGTTAATCTCACAGTTGATTCTGTAAGATAATGATGAATTCTCCTTCCTCTATCTCAGTATGGTAATTGCCAACTAGAATTTAGATTAACTACTGACACATTTCTTCAAGTCCTTGAAACTTGCACGAACTGTATATTCGTTTAGGGCTTTTATTCTCTGTGGAGTTCACTCATGACTGGTTGCTAGGCAACGGGGACTAGATGTTACATGTAATATGCACCAACTGATGTTGCTTTTTTATTATTATTAAACCAGTTTCTTGTTTTATTACCATGTCAGAGACATCTGTATGTCGGGTGGCAGCTGATGTGCATAGTTTGATACTTCTTATTCTACAAAGTAACCTTGTGATATGCCTTTCAAGCATATTGCATTGTCTCTTTTGGCTATCTAAATATAATATTTTTCTTTTATCTTCCTTTTGCTTAGGTCAAAATAGGAAAGAGTATTATTTGGTGTGAGGGATTCTAATGATAATCTTGTTAGGAAAACAACTATTGATTTGCATGAACTGTGTAATTTAAATGTTAGCTAGAGGGGAATGGACATTGGGAGGTTGAGACTGAGATTATTATTTGGTCTAATTTTGTTTAGTGCCTCTAATGATCAAAGAGGAATGATGAGTAGCATCTTAATTAAATTTGTCAATGAAACTAATTTGGGAGATGATGCAAATACCTGTATACATTGAAGTAGCAATACAGAGGAATTCTCAAACCATTTTATAGAATTTAGACTCTCAAAGAGAGTTAGTGTAACATTTTGCCAACCTAGTAATGTAGAATATTGCTTAGCAATATATGTTATTTTGAGAATTCAGAAGTGATGTGTCTAGATCTTCTTAGTTAAGCCCGATTCTCTAGTTAAAAGTTAAATTAAGCACGGAAAAGCTTTTTGCTTCAATATCTTATGGCAATACAGGCTTATTTTTATTCATTAATAGCATCTATCCACTCATTAGTTACTGAGTTCCCATTATGTGCTTGGAATGAAAAAAAAAAAGAATAATCTCTGTTCTCAAGGAGTTAGCAGGCTTGGTTTTATTTGAGATATAGACACTTAAACAAGTTACAAAATGTGTAAACTTTTCAATCAGAATTAAATACAAAGCACATAATTGTATTAATTGAACTGACTGTCTCCCTCATGAAATTATTTCCTGTAGAAATGGAGCCATAACTGACTTGCTTGGGTTTCTGTACATTCTAGCACAGTAGTGGCTCATGGTAGGTGCTCAGATGGGAATGAACTTTAATTTCACTTGGGCAATGATGTCATTAACTATGAAGGAGAATAAAGGAAAGACGACAAGGGAATTAGGGAATGAGTATGGTTGCTTAGATGGCAAATGTGGTAGTTTCAGACATGTTAACTTGAGATAGATGCCTGTGGGACATATGTGGGGAAGGTTTAGTAAGTAGCTGAATACAGACCTACAGTTGATGGTGTGGCTTATGCCAGGGGACATTTGCTAATCACCACTATATGGATGGTGGCTAAAATCGGGAATAGTTGAGACCAGAAGGGGAAGTGGTTCTAAATGGAACCCATAGAATATCAGAGTTCAAGTGACTTGTGATGGGCAGGGGGAAGGAGGGAGATGAGTTACAAGAGAAACCAGTAAAAATACCAGAGAGGAGCCTTGAACGAAAAAGGAACATAAAAAAGGATAGTGGTATTGATATGGATTTTTAAGGTCAGCTTGGGCTTCGAGAGTGCCAGCTCAATGGATTGGCCAGCCGAGCCCCAGAGAGGGTCAGCTCGATGGGCTGACAAGCCTAGCTCCAGAAGTGTTGGCACTAATGGGCTGGCAAGCCAAGCCCTGAGAGTATTGCTGCTTCGGTGGGCTGGCAAGCCTAGCTTCCAGAGTATTGGCTCTAATGGGCTGGCAAGTCAAGCCTCGAGAGTGTTGCAGACCCCAGAAGTATCTCAGCTTCAGAGTCTCTTCTTCTTCCAGTAGCTCTCCTGGTTTAGCTGGCTCTGTCAGCTGGCACGCCAGCCTCCAGGGTACATGGCTCTTTGGCTCCAGTGATGTTCTGCAGCTCTTCAGGTTGGATTTCTTGTCTTGTCAAGGAGGAACGAGGGACTCGGGCAGTTGGAAAGTGAGAAAGCAGGATTTATCGAAAGGATAGAAAAGCTACCACAGTGGGAGGGGACCCAAGGGGGTTACCGATTTGGAACTGAAACCTGGTGCTCATATAACCCTAAGACGAGTCGATGGGCTAGCACTAGCTGTGAGCTGATTGGTTGGCACTAGCTGCTCTGATTGGTCA